CAAGTTAAGAGGGTAAACAGTCAACAAAATCAATGGACATGATTATTATTTTCATATTCAATCTTTCATCAATCGCCAGCAAAAGCAATAACAACATATGATCAATTGGGCATATGGTTTGTGTATTAGTTATTGATACTCGACATTTTTGTTAGATTAAAATAATATCTTATTTTGAATTTATGAATTTAAATTAAATGTTGATACATTGTTTGAATCAAAGTGTGCAATAATTGTCATGTTATACAATTTGAATTGAATGTTGATATTTTGTGAAAGCGTGTTGGATTCAGGTTGTTTAATAATTACTTTTTTTAACTTTTTATTAAATTAATACACAAAATAAAATTATTTCAGACACAAGATATTTTGATCTTATCACACAATGTATTGAGAATAATGCATTTGTGCAAAAACCGTTATTCATAATTACAATTTGAAAAAAAATTATTCAAATTATCTATGGATAGGATGAAATTGGAATGGTTACTTAGAATAATTTTTTTCTAAATGGTGGTGTTAATGAAAATTGGGATGAAGTATTGAAAATTTGAAACTAGAAAGCAAGTAGGAAACAGCCTCCTTAATTCCAACTTCGCCCATTTCATAAAATAATTGTTTGGTTGGTGGGCAACAAATCATATCATAACATGTGTGTGCGCGCGCGCGCGCACACACACACATCAAAGCAAATTATTGTTCCATTAGTTTATAGGTGCATTTTTTAATTGGTCTATGGTTTTGATGCCTTCATGGTCAAATAATCATACCACCGAATCAGTTTTTTTAGTTTGTTTACTTTATTAATTTCCCTCCAAACACTCAACCTTTCAAAACTTATACACATAAACATACAACTAATACAAGCCAAGTTCTGCATATATCCTCATTAGTTAAAGCAACAAATTGCTCCTTAAATCTTGTATGCAAGAACTATGTAAGCTTTTCCTCTTAATTTATTCTTTAATTATCGTTATCCATTGAGTTATAATAGTCAATGCAAATATATATCAGGTGACACAAAATTATTTGAATTTAAATGATATGTGTGGGTCACAGGTGAGTTAAAAAGTGTTGTTCCCATTGGGTATCAATTTTTTTTTATTTTTTGTTACTTTTTAATTATACATAAAGATCACTTAAATGTTGGAATCTCATGGTGGGTATTTGTTTAAAAATAAAATAAAAATAAAAATTATACACCTTGATCGAGTATAAAAACATTCTTAAAAAATTGATGAAAGGATAAACATTAAAATTGGAATGCCAATGATTTGAAAGTCTTATAATATTTAAAGATAATTTGATGAAGGGTTCAAGAATAATGGCTGGAGCAAAATTAGTGATCTTGTTTGTTTGTTTGTTTTTGTTTTTCCAAGTAAGTGAACAAAGTCGTGTGATAGACGACATTATTAAAATATTGTCATGGAATACAAGTACGTGCATGGTAGGGTTGATTCAATCAAATTCAAGTGGGGTTGAATTCTGGTGAGGGTCATAATTTGCCACCTAAAATTTTGTTGCACATCCGTAACGTGTTCAAAAACTACATAAGAAGATAAACACACAACATGCATGCACTGTCGGCACCACACATCCATCACATAATAGACTGAATCCAGAACATAATAATTAATATTATTTGGTTTATTTTCCACATTATTAATTTGTGCACCACATATTTATTTGATTAATTTTGCATATAGCAACTTAATTGTTATCAAATTTTGCATATACCACGTCAAATTCTTAAAAAATGTCCAAATATGAAATGAACACACAGTCAAAGGGGCAGATTTTGTGTTTGGAGCATGACTCTCACATGTAATGTGCAAGGTTTTGCTTTTTTAATTTTTATATGGACCATGGCATTGGAACCTAATTATAGGTGCATTTAATATAACTTTATGAGTGGGATGAATTTTTTTTATATATATATTTTTTCCTAGTCGAGTGTGATGAATTAATGATATGATGTACATCAACAATAACGTGAAGACAAAAAAATGCTAAAAATTAATCACCACCATCATCGTTGTTTTTATTCCTCATAAATATGGTTGGCCACATTTGGATTCTATTTTCAAATTTTTTTATTCTGTGGTGTTGGGCCGAATTTGGTATCGGATTGATCAGATAACTCGTCTTTTGCTTCCGAGCAGTGAATCCTATTTAGTATGTTTTTTGTTGCCTGATATATTAGGACGTTTAAAGTTTAGATTGGAGTTTTGAGAAATTGAAAACCGTAGAGAAAGAGAATAAGAGCGAAAGTTAGAATTTGGGACTAAAACTTGTAATCTCATATTTTTCACATAGTGAAAACTTTTGGTGAATATCTATCGTGAATGTATGTTTTGCCAAATCAAGTTAAATCTTTATATTTTTTGTGTGATGTATTTACCTTTTCGTGTTTTTGATCCGTTATTGGGTTCGATGTGTTTGTCGTAATATATTTTTATTTTTATTTTATTTTTACAGTTTAATTCACCTACTCTATTATTAATATAGAGTGAAATAATAAAAATAAATAATTTAAATTCCAAGCTTAAATAAATCAAAATAATCATAAAATTGAAATAATAAAAATAATAATCTAAATAAAAATAATAATCATATATGATTCATGTATTCCGTTTTAAATATTGAAACAAAATTTTCTACTATAAGTGCCCGGGCATTTCCAATTTCGTAGCCCATGTGCTGAGTTGTTGGGCCTTTAGTTGTAAGAAGTGGACTATTTGGCTTATTGATGCTCTAAGTTCTGATTGTACTGGTCGTTATTAATATATTAGGATTTTTTTTTGGCACTTACTGTTTCAAATCTTCAACCTGTCATTTACATATATACAATGTTATACTTGGAGTACCGAATAAACATAACATGAATATATTTTATTGGTAATTTCATATCGTGGTGTACTAATTAGTTATTTACTTTTCACAATTGCTATTTGTAGGAGATATTTTTATTGACTAAATTAAGGTCAGATATAATGGTAGTCTAGTATTTTTTGTTCAAAACATAAGTTCAAATGACTAAATTAAGGTCAGATATAATGGTAGTCTAGTATTTTTGGTTCAAAACATAAGTTCAAATTTATTATTAGATCGTTAGTTTAATTGGTATAATCTCTCATTTGTTAGATGAAAGGCGAGGAGTTTAAAGTTTAATTAGCGCTATTAGTTATAATAAGTGTGTGAATATTTACCAAACTAACAAAAATAAATAAAAAATAATACTCACTTACTTTTTTAGAGACTTGAACCATTGACCTTTTATTTTAGAAGATAAAAAAATGCCACTTAATTACACAATAAATTTTAAAAAAATTCAAACATTCATATTTTATAAGTATACTAAGTACAACTTTTTGAAAATAATTTGTAGTAGTTTTTTTTTTTTGTAAAGTACAAAATAATTTTCTAAAGATGCAAAAGATCATTGTAAAAAATTGGGGTTTTTTTTTACTTATGTCCAACCTCTCCATATAGCAACTCCAACCAAACAATGATGTGAACATTGTTTTTAACTTTTCAAAATTATAAAAATAGAAAATTATTCTAAAAATTGAACCAATCCTCTTGTCCTGTTCCACTGGGCCTATGTCAGCCACGTGTTTAATTTTAAAGGAGCCGCGTGGTAGCTCCCTCGGATACCCTTTTCCATGTCCTAAATATTTTAGAACCAATTAGATCTATGGAATAGTTCTATAATCTCAACACGAGGCATTAAAAACACACCAAAATAATGTGTTGTCACGCGCACTCTAACACCGGTGCGCGCGTGATTCTATTATTTAGACAATCATCCAAAATATTCAATTATATTCATATTAATCTGCAAAAGCTATAATGGCAAGATATTTAAAGAAAACCATTGTAAGGTTTGACACATCTTGCATCCTAAGTTAGGCGTGCATTTTACTTCTATTTAACTTTTGAACATTCAATTTTCGATTATCAAAGTTATATTTTAATGAGTTATTAACATTAATAAAATTTGTTTTAGAATAGTCACAAGTCCCTGAAGGATTATTACTTACTTTTGACTTAATTAATTAATAAAATTTTGTGTATCTTAAGATAAAGGACGGCACGCTATAACATATTTATATATATATATTTTTACTCAATTTAATGAAGCTCTTATTTGTAATTCTAATTTAGCTATTGATTTATCTAACACGCTACTAAATTGAAGAGACATTGAGCAACACTACTCAAATTGCCTCCTCATTAGGAGAGTTAGCAAACACTTAAATTAAGAAATCAACCAAAAAATACATTTAAACAATTAGTTAGAGATGTTCCCTGCTAATTAACCAAAAAAAAAACCCCTAAGGGCTAAGTATCTTTTAAACGGAACAGTACTTCACAAGATATTATTGAGATTAATTATAAAAAATCTTGTTAGATAAAACATAATGACTTCATTTGATTATGTTAAAACTTTAAGTTGACTAAATAACATAATAAAAAAAAATTGAATTCAATAATAATTTAATGTGAATTTCAAATTATTTCCATTCATCAATTTATTGATAAATTTTCTTTTAGTTTGATTAATTAATTAATTAAATTTACTTTTAACAGTTAAAAAGTACAAATTTATATATATATAAAAAAACATAATCAGAGATTTACTTTTTTTTTTTTTTTGGAAAAATAAAATCAGAGATTTACGCACTATATGGAGCGTGGTATTATTCATACAAGTAAGGGGGACGGTGCCAATAATTTAACCAGTTATTTTGTGGCATCACCACCACTAGACTCTTGGCAGTCTGTACAACGCACGACATCGTATTACGCAACTAGCAATAAATACGACACTATTAGCAAATTTGCATGTCGATCGACACCGTATTAAGTATTACAACTGCATACGAATCCAAAGATTAACATCAAGAGATACGTTGACCGTACAAATATATAAATATATATATATATATATATATATATATATATGTATGTATATAAATATTTATATTTATGTCTGTTTGAGTCGCTTTCTCGGAAAACCCCTGAAGCTAGGAGCTTTGCTCGCTTCTTCCATTTTCTCACACAAAGAGATCACTCTAATCTCTCTCTCCCTCTCTCTCTCTCTCAAGCTTAGTCTATCTTTCTCTCTCTAAAACCTCCCTTGAAGTCTCCTAATGGCTGACGCTGAATGTCACATTCGAAGATGAAGATCACCGGCAAGACTGACCTCTCGGCGAGTCTCTCCTACAGAGCGCTAAGCCCTTTCCTAGATTCAGATCTTATACAGAAACCGAGCTATCGCAAATCACCTAGCCGGAAAACTAAAAACGCCAGCTTTTCCGGCGCCGGAGTGCGGTTAAAGAGAGACGGAGCTCCGGCTGGAAGGCGGAGTAGGCCTGAGACTCCTTTGCTTCGGTGGAAGTTAGACGATGGAAAGAAAGATGTTGATGTTAAGGACGAGCGGTCTCTGCCGGAGTTCGGTCAGAAAAGTGGCCGGAGAGCGAGGAGAGGCAAAGAGGTTTTGCTTTCCGCGAGAAAGCTCGCCGCGGGACTATGGCGTTTACAGTTGCCGGAGGATGCCAGTGGCAGTGGCAAAAGGCATTGTGCGCCGAAGGACAGTCCATTAGGGTTTCAGGTACATATTATTCAAAATTTGTGTTTTTAGGGTTTTATCTTTAATTTGTAGAATGTGAATTGAGCGAAGCTATGTTTTGATTGTTCTCATTGTAAATCTAATCTGATCAATTGCCAACTACTCACATACCCAATTTATTACACAGTTCTTGCATGTTAAGTAGGATTGGCAAAGAACAGAACAGTATACACCTCTTCTTAGTCTTAAGCATTCAGTGAACAAATTGGCAATATGGTTTAATTGCATTACTTTGGTCCACTGATAAGTTTTCCAAAGAATCTGTTAAATTCTTCATCTTTTTACTTCTCTTTTAAATTCTTCATATGGTTTAATTACATTACTTTGGTCCACTGATAAGTTTTCCAAAGAATCTGTTAAATTCTTCATCTTTTTACTTCTCTATTTATAGATTTTCGATTTATGATTTTTTTATTTTTTATTTTGGCCATCCTTGATCACATTTCCATGGGGAATCTCACTTATTGATCTCTTCAATTTCCACTTTGTATGTGACATTTATATAACCTATTTGACAAGTTCCAAGAATTGCGTTTTGTTCACCAGCTTCTTGTTGAACGAGGTAGTGTTTTAGATCTTGAATTGGTATTGGCTTGTTTTGAAGTCATTAAGTTGTGTTGTCGGTAATGGAAATTATAGATTTTGCTCAGCGTTGATTTTTCGCCTGCAGTCTGGAGTTGGCCATGTAGGGGTCCAGTCTCATGGTCATCACAAGAGTGAAGCTTATGGTTCTGTAGCGAAGGATCTGATTCAGAACCCTCATTCATTATCTGGTTCTAGAAAAGGATTCTTGAGCAAGGTGAATTTCTTTCTTTTAAAGCTCCCTAATTTAGTTGATTGCCATTAGTGACTAGTCAAATTGTGAGAATACTGAAGTTATGACAGCATTGCAATAAACAAAATGCACCCCTCTTATGTTTAATGCATCCTGCACAACTGCCACGGTTGCACGCTGGCTGAGAAATTCCCTATGTCCAGCTAAGATGTTAGTTGATTGTGTCCGTCCGTGCTCGATCTTATATAGCATTATAGCCATCCTGTTTCCCTGATCTATCTAATTGTTGGAAGATTTGAATTATTTTCTAGTTTAGAGAACCTTAATTATGCCACTAACCAAAAAGATTTGGGTTTCCATTATTTTATGATTTGTCCATTTGTTCTAAGTTCTACTTGTCTGATCTTGGAATCATTCTCATTTCGCAGATCGAGCCTTCTTTTAAATTTTCCAACTCTGCAATGGAGGGGGTGACAAAATGGGAACCCTTCTGCTCCAGAACATCAGATGAGGTGCAACGGGTTTATGGCCATTTGAAGCTTCTTGACCAACAAATAAGTGCTGTCTCAGTGATATCTGAATTAAAAATGGAACTAGAGCAAAGTCGAGCACGGGTCGATGAGCTTGAGACTGAGCAACGGTCCTCAAAGAAGAAACTTGAGCATTTCTTGAGGAAAGTCAGTGAGGAAAGGGCCACATGGCGGAGTAGAGAACATGAGAAAATCCGTGCAATTATTGATGACATCAAAGCTGACTTGCACAGAGAGAGGAAAAATCGTCAAAGGATGGAAATGGTTAATTCTAAATTGGTCAATGAGCTGACTGATGCCAAATTAGCTGCGAAGCGCTTTATGCAGGAATATGAAAAAGAGAGGAAGGACAGAGAGTTAATAGAGGAAGTATGCAACGAGCTTGCTAAGGAAGTTGGAGAAGACAAGGCTGAAGCTGAAGCTTTGAAGAGGGAATCCATGAAACTCCGGGAAGAAGTGGACGATGAAAGGAAGATGTTGCAGATGGCTGAGGTCTGGCGTGAAGAACGGGTTCAGATGAAGCTGGTTGATGCAAAGTTGACACTTGAAGAGAAGTATTCTCAGATGAACAAGCTAGTAGCAGATCTGGAGACTTTTCTTAGTTCAAGAAGTGCAACCCCGGATGCGGCAGAGTTGAGAAAAGCAGAGTTCCTCAGACAGGCTGCTGCCTCGGTGAATATTCACAATCTCAAGGAATTTACTTATGATCCCCCGAATCCCGATGATATATTCTCTGTTATTGAAGACGTTACTTTTGGTGAACGAAATGATAGGGAGCTTGAACCATGTGTTGCATACAGTCCTGCCAGCCATGCGTCCAAAATTCATACCGTGTCTCCTGAAGTTAATGTGTTTAATAAAGACAGCATTCAGAAACATTCTAATGCATATCTTGACCAGAATGGAGATGTGGAAGAAGATGAGAGTGGATGGGAAACTGTAAGCCATGTTGACGATCAGGGCTCAAGTTATTCATCCAATGGGAGTGATCCATCGGTCAACAATATTTGCCAGGCCAATAATGTCTTAGGAAGTGGAATAGAATGGGAAAAAAATGCAGGTGGGGAAACACCAATCACAGAAATAAGTGAAGTCTGCTCAGTACCAACAATGCAATTGAAGAAGGTATCATCCATCTCCCAGCCTTGCAGATCGTACCCAAGTAACGGTGAAAACTACAAGATAATCTCAGTGGAGGGAATTAATGGAAGGCTCTCAAACAGAAGGCTTTCTAATGGGGCCATCATTTCTCCAGATCGAGGTTCGGCTAATGGCGGGTATAGCCCCTCGGATTTGGGGGGACAGTTGAGCTCACCTCTCTCAGGGTATACACATATAACTCGAGGCATGAAAGGGTGCATTGAATGGCCACGTGGCATGCAGAAGAATAGCTTGAAGGCAAGGCTTTTGGAGGCGAGGATGGAAAGTCAAAAGATCCAGTTGCGCCAAGTTCTAAAGCAGAAGATTTAGATGGATTACATAAGTTTCCAGCGGCCAAGCCTGCTTGGTGAAGTGACTAATAAAGCGTGAAACTGTTGTCACTAAGGAAGGAACTGGCAAACAGATCCATTTGGTTAGTCTCATGAAACTGTCCTTTTGCGGGTCTTCCACTTCACTCGCATCACCATGCTCTGGTAAGAGTTCTCATTTTGTTATAATGAATCTTAATTGAGCCAGCTAGTTATTGTCTGTAATGAGTAGCTATACTTCTGCTTGTTGGTGTTAGAATCCTTTTTAGTAAATGATTCAGGAAGCAAAGTATGCTCCGTGTACCATTAAAATGAGGGGATACCATCAAAGAAAACCAATTCATGTCGGATGTAAAATGTTGACAATTTTATTCTGTCTTGTAATTTTGTTGCGGGACATATCTATTCGAAATGGAATATGACAAATGACATTTTATTCTATCTTGTAATTTTGCTATGAGACATCTATTTGAAATGGAATATGACAAAGAAGTTTTTGCCCCACCACTGGCCTCGAAATTTACTCTGCAAAGCTATTTCCCTGCATAATACTGCTTTTGACAATAGTATTTTAGCTGTTGATTTGAATGAGTTAAATGGGTCTCATCACACACAAGAAAGGCTTTGGGGTTACATGATTGTAGAAAATAGGAGCTCTTTTTCAATTATTGTAGTATTGTTGACAAGTCCAATGATTATGTTTGTAAGTGGTCTTTTGGCTTTGAAATAATTTATTTAGATAGGTGTAACTACAAGAAAGGCTTTTTAGAACATAGATGCTCCTTAATATAAGTCCCAATTATATGATAGTCTTTGTTTGGATCTCCTAAAGAAAGTGGGGAGAAAAGGAAATGTTATTGGATCATGGAGAGAACTACAGAAAGTTAAAAAAAAAAAAAAAATACTGGAAATAATGTCCTAAGGAGGATCTGAAATGAAGCCCGTTCTCAAGCATTTTTTTGTCTTTCATCTTCTTCAGTTCTTATCAAGATCTAGCTAACGAGGACCACAAACCCGTGATAAGCTTCTTTCATGATTTGTTTGGCTTATTTGAGGTCTACTTGGATTGACAAATAGGTGGTTTTGGGCAGGCGGTGAAAGATGGACAGAGATCCTTATTCACCCAGGTAAAAAGGGGTTCTCTTGAATATGACCTGTAAGTCTAATTTTTTTGTTTGTTCTTTTCTCCTTTGGGAATTACTTGAGCATTTTTGATCTTTTAATACTTTAAATTCGTTGTGAACAGATATTCTAAATAGAAAGTAGTCAATTTACAATTGAAACAGAATTTTTGAAAAGTCATTGGTGGGGCGTTGAGCTATTACATTATAATACCATTGAACTGCAACACTTGAAAGAGAGTAGTTCTCTCTTCATCTGTAAATCCAAAATTGGTTGATGCAAAAGTTATGGGCTCCAACTTTTCATTTCTGTGCCGTGGGAATGTTTTGATAGCAACTTACAACATCCTTGGATCAATTTTCTCCTTAGGGGTCGGAATCAAACATCTTCTCTGCATACTGGGCAAGAACCATGCCTGCTTAGCCATTCATCTATGCAGTGCGAATGAAAACGGTGTCTGCAGCTTGGTAGTATTCTTACATTGTCTCCATTCTTGAAATCCTGAGACACAGCATCATTACCATTGCAATTTAAGTCTAGTGCATATATATATATATAGATGTATATATTAGATGATTATGAAATTAATAATAAAGCTGCTCACCTCTAAGCAAATTGTGCAATTAATCTGGTGGCATGGTCTCATTGAGTTGCTGTTGGAATAATGGAAGATGTGGTTTGGTAGCTTCTTAATGGAATCCTGAGATAACCCTCTAGTTTCACTGATTCCGTAAATGTCTGAGATCTCTCTAAAACTTGTTTCCAAACTGCTTATCTGATATTTTAAATGCACGTCTAAATTATCACCCATGCAAGGTTCAGGATAAAATAGTTGTTAATTAGTAGTGCAGCTTATTTAATGTGGGATTACTCACTTGCCACTGATAAGCCTTTAGCACTGCAGGTGTGACCCATTCCACAAACACCTTCCCATTTAGCAGACTACATAAGAGGGCAACCTGTAAAATTTAATTTCAATGTACGCGTTAAGAACATTACAATCTTATGTATAATTAAAGATGTAAGCTACAATTACACACACACACACACACACACGTGTGTATGATCTATGTATAAATGTGAAGCTAACACATAAACAAATAGTAAATTGCTGAATACATAGATATGCAAACATATACGAACGTATATAACTATATATATATATATATATATATATATATATATATTATATAGTACATTAATTGCATCACATACCTTGGAAAATGGCTCTCCATGAAGCATTAATTCCATCAACTGTACGGCTGTGATGGCCCCTGTCACTGCACCTATTCCAGCCCCATGTAAGAACCCAGTTTCTGTTGTCTGCCCTTTGATGGCTCCTGTAATTGTTCCTACACTTGCTCCTCCTGAAATTCCATATCCCACAACCAATTCAACCCATGCATCAACTCTATAGGATATACGAGACACAACAACCAGAATAGAAAAAAGCAAGTCGATCTGGGATAGTCTCTCCATTCAACGACTATGATGGTAGGAGCTAGTAAAAATGTTACAAGATTAAAGGGCTAGTCCTGTACACGAGCTTCTCACAATTACAAAGTTTGGAAATGGTTAGATAAATGCAACGATGCGGAGATGTCATTTCCTGTTTCGAACAATCTTACATTCTCACAATATCTTTTTCCAAATAGAAAATAAACAAGCACACTAAATATATATTGCAGCAAGAAATTGACATACCTAATGCAGCACTGCATGTGAGTAGACCAAGAATAGCTTTCTTCATCACAGTGAACAGAAGTCGAGATTCAAAACCACCCAATAGCGAGAAGACCCTTGAAAAAACCGCCTCTTTGTACCTGAAAACCATAGTTTCTATGCTGGAAAACCACCCTGTGGTCGGAGAAGAGATCATAATTTAAGCGGTGGAAGGCAGGCTTGTTTAGATAAATAGTATGGAGAATAGAGAAGTAGACATGCAGTAGTAGAGCTCACCTTGGAAATATGTGATTTAAGACAGCATTTATAGAGTGAGAAATTCAAAATTAGGAGCATTTAAGAGGGCTCACAGTTTTTCAACTACACAAGACATGCAGTAGCTTAAGCCAAAAGAGGCAAACACAGCTCGTCTTGAGATGGATGACAAGGAATAGATATTATTTGGAGTGCTCTATACCTAACCTTTTTCTTCTTTTTTTCTAAAATAACTGCAGCTTAGTATAATAGTGGTAATATTGAATTACGTACACCTAGACTTGTACAGTTGGATTTTAACATATAAAAGAAAAATTATTACTCATTTCGTCTCAAGATTCTTATCTATCGAATTTTTTTTAAAAACATATTTTATTTCAAAAATTAATATACCATTTTATAACATTCCCAAACTATTATTTTTAACTAAACAAGTGCACTAATTATGAAAGACTATAGCTTTTTAATATAATAAAAAATTATTAAAACTCCATTACAATAAAAAGTTGAATTCTCCTAATAGGCCAACGGTTTTGGGAAGAGAGGAGTACACGGTTTCGGGCTAATCACAATCTCATACCAAGTAAAAATCTAAATAAAATCGACTCATTTATTTATCTGTTAAGTTGTGATTGGTCGTAACCATATAATAATTTATATATATATAACATTGTTTTAGTATTGAAAAATGATTTTCTTCCAACCGAAGTGATCCTAACCTTACAGAATCATGAGGCATCCTAGACCTAGCATTTTGGGTTGAAATTCTGAGCTCACGTAGCATAATTCTTTAGTATCAAAACAATAAAGCAAAGTTGCCTTTATAAGGAATAAGCACAAATGGTTCATACAACCCATAAGTTCATAACCATTACACTGTTGACTCGAGTTTGAAGTCCAATCTTCCAGTTGTTTAGTTGTAGCTATGATTAATCATGGCTTAAGATGGTGATTAGCCCGCCCTCAATATTTGTATATATGTATGTGTTTGTGTGCATGTATCTATATCCCTAGCTAGCTTCTTAACTGCTTGATGGATATGTTGTCTATGAATAGGATAAAGCAAATATATATATATATTATAGATATATTTTTATAAGAATCAAGCAACTAGTAGAAGAATTGAATGGGCTACTGGCTAGTAGAATTTAATGAGATCCCCCTACTTCTATACTCTGCATCTAGAGGAGCACAACTGACCTGTTACTGTCCTCAATTAAGATGGTGTCGTTTTAATATATATATATATATATATATACAGTTATTATAAGTGGCCAGATATACTCTCAAAACCGGGTGCTGGGATACTGGTTATGTGTTCTGTGGGCTGCCCAGCACACAAACTTGTGAAATATGGGCCTCGTGTTTAAATAGACCGAGTGGTCCTTCAATTACATAATTTATGGGAACAAATATATATTTTGTAGGCCTTGTGTGTGCTCTATTCCATACCATTGCCCAGTTTGTCACAAATCCTTATTCATTACATTATTCAATTGAATGACAAGATCTTAAAGGGAAAATTTGTCAATATCACAATTATAGAATGCTATATATGAGTAAGGATCATCTCCAAAGTTGGAGCAAGCCTTGCGCTCCATCAACGTGCAGATTTGATTACCAAATCAATAAAATTTTCATCTATCGATAATGTTCAACTTTACCTTTGATGAAATACAGGACTCTCTTTGGAGAAGATCCAAGTCTATGACATATATATCATAATGTGTGGTGATTGAATCCCGTGACATTGAGAATGCTTTTGTCGTGTATTTTTATTTTTATTTTTATTTTCTATGTATTTTTATTTTTTTTTTTATTTTCTATCTTTGATGTTACAAAGATCATTCCTTTTGAGCTTTTGAACAGGGTAGTCCTTTGTACATCAAATTGCTAGTGTCCAAGACGTGCTGAAATAATTAATCAAATGCTTATAGACTTATAGTTATGGACTAAAAATGCAATGTGACAGTGACACAATGAAATTTATAATCTAAACATGTGGTAGCTCTCTCCGTCTCTCACAAAATGGCCAGCCCGCGAATGTGTGACAATGTTTAATTGAGTTTTGAGTCACCGTGACATTGAATATGTACTTTACTCATCATGAGAAACCAAAACACGTGCACAATTGCATGACAATCTAGCACTTAAGAGAAGTTACGGCGATACAAGCTCACAAACTCATACTCGGCTCAAGTGTAGTGATAAACTAGTAGCGACCAATGAGGGTAGGCCCACCCATGCAAGAATCGGCATTGTGTGCTACACCGATCCTCGATTATTTTATGAATTGAATAACACTTGTTGGATCAGACGATATCATCTCATTTGGAAAAATAATCGGTGTTTAATGATGATAGGATACGTCTTTTATAGCATTCAACCCAAACTCACTCATGTAAAGAGCAACATTGTGTGCTATATCAGCAGTCAACATAGTGTGAAGTGACGTTAATTTGGATCCCATTGTAGATGCTAAAATTCCAACTATGATGAGTGGTTAAACTGGAAGTGCATTTGTTTAATGTGAAAAAAAAAATAGTGACGCTAAATGTACATCACCAAAATTTATTGTGAGTCCATCTAAACTTATAACACCAAATGAGTTATGTGGATTGTTAGAAGGTTTGGTAGATTAGGGACACCAACTTTTATTTAATTTCATAAAGTGAATTGCTTTCAATAGTGGACGTTATCATCATAGACTTCCTTTCACCAAATTTCGTAATATTAGATCATGAGGGTTGGTGGGTTCATTAAAAAAAAAAAAGAAAAAAACTTTTTCACGAACATTATCATTTATAAAGAGAAAAATAAACAAGGTTTAGAAATTCTTTGGATTAAAAAATTGGCCAGAGCTTGAACTTACATATTTGGAATTGGGTTGGGCCCTTGTAACACTAGGCCCAAGCCTAGCAGCCAGAGTAGTAGGGTTGAAGCTGAAACTGAAAGCTACAAGCTTCTCATATGCTAATTCTTGGAACTTTATCCCCAACTAGACTATAGACACAATTAAGCTATTTTTTTTTTCTTTTTCGGTTGAGTCTCTTTACATGGGCATGTTTGGTGTAGTGGAATGAATTGGAATGGAATAAGAATGGAGATGCGAATAGAATTAAAAGATAATGGAATGGGAATGATGATTCTTATTATACCGTTTGGTTACAAACATGGAATATGTAAAAATAGAATGCTCATTCTCTTTCATGTGTTTGGTAAGAAAGTTAGAATGGAATGAATTTATATTATTTTTTTATATTACATTTTATTATTAGTCAAAAAAATTAACTAAAAAAATTAATTTGCAAAAATAAAAGGGAAAGAAATAATAGAGAGAGAAAATAGACGAGATAGAGAGAGAAAATAGACAAGAAAAAAGAAACAGAGGGCTCTCTGACGACGGCAAAAATAAAAGGAAAAGCAATAATAGAGAGAAAAAATAGACGAGATAGAGAGAAAATAGATGATAAAAAAGAAACAGAGGGCTCTCTGACGACTACAAAAATAGAAGGGAAAGAGATAATTTTCCGATCATCTTCTCCGGCGGCATTCTCCGACGACTTTTAGCAAACTGGTCCAGATCATTCATAGTTGCCGCTGTTTCAGTCCACTTCATCACTGGATCGAACCCTCTTCATGCGCGTCAGGACCGGCTTTGCTTCTTTCTTCCTTGTTCATCGCCAGTGTGTTTACAGAATTGATGTGGGTTTGTAATTTGTTGGGGACTCAGTTTTATTTTTTAATTTATTTTTAGTCCCCATTTTTTTAAAGTGGGAATGGAATGATGATTCATTTTGTTTGAAGATTGAATGATTTTGATGGAATAACCATTCTCCAAGAATAGTGAGGAATGGTAATTCCAACTTTAAAATTGCTCACCAAACACGAGAATGGAAAAAAAATCATTTCATTCTACTTTCTTTTATTCCATCCCACCACACCAAACTAGTCTAAAGGAATGAAAAATGATTTTTAGGCCAATTATTTAAAATGAATTACCTGACTTACAAATTTTTTATTAATTATATATAAAATAAAAGAGGTGATACCCTCCACCTTTTTTACATTAAGTGTGACATGTTTAGACAAGTGCATAAGAAACTAACCTCAATTTGCATATTTAGTTACTTTGCAATGCATAAGAGAATCAACAATTGCTTTCTATATCAAATAAAATATTAAATGTGCAAAGAACAGACTCATTCAATATGATTCATAAATGTTTTTAGTTTTTACTATATAGAGTTGGGCATGTCAAAGTCATTATTCAACAACTGTTGTTAAGCACACCAAATTACACAAATTTCAGTCTGTTCAGTTTTTCACATGGTTATAAAACTTATAATCACATACAATCATCCTTGTATGTATTTTGTGTTAAACTTATTTAAGTTAAAAAAATGTGTTTTAATTCATGGTGTAGATGGAACTCCATATATTTTTTGCCATTCAGATTATTTACCATTTTTTTTTTTTTTTTGGGAAAGTTATCAAGCTATTCACCTATCCTTGTAATGGCCAAATAAATGAATATTATGTTTGTAAAATTTGTCCTCATATGTGATTGACGTGTTATTTTGATACTATGTCTTTGATTTATGCTGTGTCCGTAGAAAGGAAGAAAGAGAAGTGGGGAATACCAAATTGTTTATTTGAAATACTAATAGCTTTATTCAACTATTGAATTTATGTACCAAGTAGAAAGTTATCAAGGATATTAAAAAATTTCCCTCAATTTAGATGTTGGAACTTGGAAATAAACGGAAAGCTAGGTGAGTTGATGAGACATGATGTTATATATATAACATCGGGAAAAGTGTTTTGAACATGATGTGACATTGAATATAGTGTTATATGGAGGCCACTTTGATACTCCGTATTTGACATAGACTA